AGACGCCGGCGGCACGCCCGCCACCGGCCAGATCCCCTTAATTTTTTTTAACGTACAGAAATCTTTTCTGAATCTTTACTAAAATCTGAATTCCAAATCTGAATTTTCTAAACTGAATCAATCCGAACGAAAATAACAAAATTATACCGCAAAAATTTTCAAATTTAACAAAGCATATAACCAAAAATTGTTAAATCTGAAAATTTCAAAATATATTGCAAGAATCAAACTAAAGCCTTTGATTCTCAATGATTCAACATGAAGAGGCTCTGATACCACTTGTTGGATAAATTTAATGTTTTAAATTACCGGATCTTTCATATTAAATCATCGAGAAATATAAGAATTAAAGCGGAAGCATACCTGAATCAGACATGGTTAATGCAATATGAATTTAGCGGTATGATTTTCCAAATCTACACGCAGTCTCGTTTTCCTTTCTGTGATGGGATGCAGTAGAGAATGAATAATTCGTTTCGTTGTGTGTTATCTGGGGACCATAACCTATTTATATAGGGATGCCCTTTGACCTAATTCGACCCATCATAGAATTAGGATTTGGGCCCGGTCTCTACACATATGTAAACCTATACTGTAATTGGATACAGTAAAGTCCAAAATCGAAACCTTATTAGATCACTTAAATCGGGCTCAACCGAATTCGATAGCCTATAATTTAACACACAATTATTCACACATACAAACCCATCTTTAATTAAAAATCCTTACAGATGCATCCTAGAGCTCCAAGCATAACCCATCACCCATGGATAACCTGGTAAGTGAAAAATAAAAAAAAAATAAAAAAATTCAACAACAATAATTGCCAAAGTACTGCTGTTACTCTTCGTATGAAAATTTGTACACCTCAAGTGCCTTGTTCCTAGCAGAGGACTCGGGATCGGCGATAAACCAGCAGTGTCCCATCCATAATCACGTAAGAATTCTCCCTTCAAGTATGATGGAGTCTAAACCGAGAAGGGTCCTAAGTATTTGACACAGTCCAGTCTGTACCATAAATTGTTATCCCGTCAAATATAAGAAAGTCATTCTTTTTCCTTGTTTGGGTTGGTGTGAGTTGAGGAATAACATACAATGGTGTATTTCCCATTTCCGGTAGAGACAAGATCCCTAAAAGGGCTAGCATTCTTGGTTTGGCCCAAGAATGGAGGGCCAGAGCTGGCAGTGGCAACCATTGGTGCCATTTCTTCTTAAAGCTTATTGCAGTTGAACTGTTGCTGGAACACAATATGGACTGGTGAGGGACACTGGCTTTATGATGACTGGTTAAGATTGCATATATTGAAATTATGGCTGTTGATAATTACATGTACATCGTCAATCAATCACAGGCATCAAAAGATTGCATGCATCTCCAACTCATCCTTCTATCCACAGTTTATCTCTTCTGCTATATTAATTATTAAAATTTTCTCTTAAACCCTCGTTTTTGTCTCATTCTTTTGAAAAAATGCATTTTTCAACAGTATTTTAACTTCATTTCAACTACCAATTTTTTAATAAAATAATATTACACACAAATTCAAAACTTTTGTTTATTTTTAAATCACACATTCTCCATCAATACACTATTCAAAAAAACATTCTTCCCCCAAAATGGTATTTGTTAACGTAAATTAATTACCCATTTATGATGATAAGTACATTCTTGAATTGCACTCTCAAATGTGGTATTGATATTCAGCATTGTATATAGAATTAGGGGTGAGAAGAATCAAAGAAAAGTAGTAAATGAAATTAGAGTAGGTACGTAAAACGAGAAAAATGCGGTGAGCGTGGATCGAACACGCGACCTTCAGATCTTCAGTCTGACGCTCTCCCAACTGAGCTATCCCCGCGAGTCTGTAATTTTATTCACATCAAGATTCAACAACCCAAAACCCTATCAGCTGATATCACAACGGAAGATTCAAATTTCTCCCCAACCCACAGTTAAGTTCTCATTGATTCTTGATTTTCTTCGTGTGTTTACAAAAAGAATAAACTCCGAAGCACAGAAGAAATGGAAAAATTAGAAAAGACGCTTCAACTTTCAAATGCCAGTCATGGAGCATATACCAAGAATAGATATGAAAATTTCCAAAGGAAAACTACCCAACCTGTCGACCATTGGGCTTTTTTGGTAGTTTCACAAACTCAATTTCTTGTTATTAGTACGGGTGTCGAAGTTGCTGCTTAATCTTGATTAGTTTCTTGTTTATCTTTATTTTTTAAGGAGTCAGCGTTTTTGTAAGTTTTGAATCTTGATTTCTTTGTAATATGATTTTCCAATGTCGCTACTGTGTTGATTTTATTAATATGTGAATAATTTTATAACTGGGGGTTTTTTCTGCGTTGATGATGGCATTTCTGTCATGGCAGATTATGATGTTATTTTGATATTCTTTTGAATATTCCGATTCTTTATCTTGTTTTGTTTTTGTGATTTTTTTAGTAGTTTTCTTGTTCTTGGAATTTATGATGAATTCAACTAGTCCCCACTTTTATTGTCTCTCATTTTTCTTCTTATATTTGGGTTTAATTTCTTTTCTTTGTTCCACTAAAGTTCCTTTTATACTCTTTACTCTACTGATTAACATTTTTAGGATGAAATTGAAGCGCCCACATGGGTTGATCTTACTCTGGAATGTGACTCAACTTACCAGGACAAGTAAATTTCTGCAGATTCTGCAATTTTATTAAATCATTGTCTTTGCTCGGGCAATAGATGAGGTGATTAATTATGCAGCTCGAATTCACTTTTATTTTTTATACGTTACATTGCAGGGATGATGAGTGGTTTCACACAAGCCACCAGTAAGTATTTTTGAATAATAAGCACTTGACAAATATTTAATATATTTTACTTAGAATGTTGAGCTCTGTTACTTGGTTTAATGATTTTCGTCCTGATAAAATCTATGTAATTTCAGGTTCCATCAGTATTCGTCCCGAGAGTTGATTTCTATATTTTCTCATTCTGGCGAGTGTTGTGCAAACTCAGACTTTGGCTTGCAGGGAACATGTTCTCCAAAGCTTCCACCATCAGTCTCAAGATCAAGAGGCACTCATTGCAAGAGCATGGAATTGGGACAGGGAAAGTGCAGAATCACATCAAATAAGCTTCATCTGGTTAAAAATTTAAGCAGCAAATCATCATCTATGAATTCAAGATCTGATAACGCTATCAAAGGTAAACTGTCAGATGAAAAACTAAAAGGGCACGTGAATTCGATGTCCGATTTAGTTGGTGAAAGCAGTTTAACCGAAACTTCTGCACGAGCTGATCATGAACCAGTGACTGGTTTCTGTTATCAAGAAACATGTTCCAAGTCTTCAGCTTTTAGTCAAGGTGAAAACAATTCAACGAGCACTATTACATCTGAATCTACGGGACAGAAATCTATGGAGGTATGCAGCCAAATATTTGGCAACTCTAGTGGGTTATTATCATCTCTTGGACTGAGTCTTAGGAAAAGTTGTGTTACAAGACAAGCATTAAGGGTGGAGGTTAAGAATCAGATGTCAGAAGGTCAAACATCTTCTTCAAGTAAATCCAGTGTTGGGTCCTCTTCAAATCCTAGTTCTGATAGGAAGAACCTAACAGTGAGACAGAACAAAGAAGAGATGAATAGTCAGAATGTTACGAGAATTTCTCATGCTCCAACTTACAAAATGAATAGATCATATATCTCCAGGGCACAATACGTTCAAGCTCGGGATATGATTTGTAAGTCTAACCGGGGCATCAAACTGGAAGCGACGAAAGCAAAGGTTTTGGTTCCTCGTATAGTCAATGAACGTGCTCCTCTATCTATGGCTATAACATCTAAAAAGACAGTACAAGCTGATCATTGCAATAAAACTAATGGTGGTGGTAAAGAGAATGTGACTGGAAGTCTAGGTTTGGGTATGAAATCAAGCAGAAGAGAGAACAAAGCTGATCGTGCCATGTCAGACCAAAAGGTAATGAAAACAAGACAGCAACAGAAAAGTAGTGGGAAAAACTTGGTTGGCCTGAAGGTACATTTCTTTGCTCTTAGCTAATTGGCCTCTATTTTTGTTTTGAACTTTGAACGTACGATTTGATCTGCGTCCATTTAGACAGTAACTCTTGCTTTTAGATTAAGAACTAGAATTTGGTTGAGTCATTCCGTTAGACTAAGAATTTCACAATTCATTTTTCTAAAATCCAAAGTAATTCCAATAATAACTGAATCTTTAACAAGCTACTTATTGTTAAAATTCCTTGAGCATCAATGAGGGGTGGTGGAGCCAGTATTTATGATTATGGGGACTAATCTTGCTAAGGGGAAAACTAATTTTTTTGTTAGGGTATGGACTGCTTATGTACAAGAGAGAGCATGTGCCAGTTTACAAATATAGATACAGATGTTTACGGTTTCATCCCTATTTACAAATTTAGAGAAGAATTATTTGCATGTCTTCAGCAGAAAGTTTGGTTAGCTTTTAAAGTGAAAAGTTACTCCAAATAATGGTTGCCTCGCCGGATAGAAACGAGTAACATTAGAATTACAGATAACTCTTTAAACTAAAATACTAATAAAGAATATTTTCCAGATGGAGTTGAAAAGAATATTTCCCGTGCAACATAAATTTAACTAACAGGAATCTAGATCTAGCTTAGCAGTTGCTGAAAATATTAAATGAAGATGAAAAAGAAAATGTCTTTGTTCATTTTGCTTGCAGAAGTAAGAGATCCAACAAAAGGAGCTAAAATCAATATTATCAGTTATTAATAAATTTTATTGAAGCTCTGCTGGAGGGGCAATTAAGAGTATGATGGAATTAGATGATGACAACCAAAATGGTGCCATTTACTTGAAGTATTTGGAACGTTTTATCCCTATTGGAGACACCTCGAGCAGATAGCAAGATATAGAGCATGCTTGGCAAAAGAAAAAAAATATTGCTTTAGTATGAGCTGGGGTCCCCGTCCTACAAATTGTGTGGAGCAAAATCCATAAGCCTTATAAGCTGGATCCTGCGCTCATAAGAAAGCAAATTTCTTTACTAACCATGCTTATGGTGATACTACAAAGAGGATGATGAACAGGATACATTGATCAAGTTTATAAAATTAGAGACACAAATAAATATATGGACCAATTGACTTGTCTGAATTAAAGTTGAAGAAATGCAAGGAATCACAATAAACTGATTGGCACAGGAGATGCGCGTCGTTTATGTTTTGTGAAACCATATAAGATTTGGTTCAAAGTTCGTGTTCAATTTTTATCTCTTTGTTGTTGGTTAGGCTACATATAATTATCTTTGTTGATGATCGAACTTGTCTCTCTGCATTGATTTTTGTGGTAGACATGTAGAGTTCTCTCTTGGCTTGTAGTCAGGGGCGAATCCAGAACTTCGATTCAGCTAGGGCGGTTGTTAATTGTTGGCCGTTGACTGTCGATAGTCAATGGCCGTATAGCGATATTGTTTATTAATATTAAATTAAATAATATTAAAAAAATTTCGATCTATATGTAAATATACTAAAACGTAAAAATCGTATATTTATATCATATTATATTTCCATACAATCCGAAATAATATAAATTACATGATACATAAGACTTCTTTGTATTATCAATACTTAACAAGTCGTTTGCTTGACTAAAAATAGTTGAGAACTTAGATACACCACTACAAGAATTAGATTGAAATTCAGTTGAAAAAATCATTCCATAATTAGTATGAGAATTGGACGTTAATCAAAGATTAAACGTAATTAAAATTAATTTAAAAATATAATTAAAGTTTCAATTTCCAATTCTCAACACCAATTCATCATAAATTATAAATTCTCCAATTTTTCATTTTCAATTTTTATGAATCGCATATTCACATTTCACGATACTCAAATTAATTTTTAATATCACAATTTACAGTAGACAAATTTTCAAATAACATATAAATTAAAACTCAATACTCATAAGTCATATCTTATAAATTATTGAATCATAAAATATTTAAAACAACGGGGAAAAAAAAACCTCTCCTAAAGTCTTAACATATATTATTTTGTTAAATTTAGATTCAAAATTCAACAATTGCCGTGATGGTTAAGCTTCCAATTATCCTAATTCTAGAAGTTATAGGTTCGAATTCTTTCCTTAGGGAATTAATTTTGGTAAATATTGTAGAAATAAAAATTTTGCACAATGAAATGGAGGGGTAGGAATCGAACCCAAGACTCACAATATAAAAAAGAAAGCTCTAACCAACTAAGCACAAGAGAGGTTTAAAAACAAAATGAACTACTAGTTATATAACCTAAAATTTTTATCTATTATTATAGAAAAAAAGAAAAAAAAAATCTCTTCGGCGAATCCAGCTAAGGCGGCCACCTACTAAATCCGCCACTGCTTGTAGTCAACATATCATTATCATTCAATTTAGCTACCTTCAATGACCCAAGTCTCAATTATTTGTAGCCTTTGTTGTGACACGGTGTATGTCAGTTCGTTTGTGTTTAGCAACAGGCAGTTGATTCGAATTGAACATAATTGTTCTTTATCTATTTATAAACTAAACTGGTTATAATTGTGCTTTGTATTCCTATCTTTATAGAAAGATCTTAGTGGGGATTCCATATAAGTTGTTCGAATGGAGGAGTTTCAAATTACCTAAGGTAGGGAATTTAGGCCAATAGTTTAACTACAATTTAATGTCCCGTGTGCAGGAAAAGAGCAACGATCCAAGTAAAGTGAAAAAATCTGCAAATATGGTTAAGAACGCCTATTTCCGATAGGAAATCAAGGTATGTAAATAAACTAAAGCCCCTACCTTCATTTTATTCGAGCTAAAGATCAAATGAGATGACATGATTGGTAACTTTTGAGACCTGAATTTTGTTCTTGCTAGCTACGGTCTCTTTACTTCAAGGAGGCATGTTTGTTATGTAATATTAGGACTGGATGACTTAATATTGAGGATTTTAGCTTATTATTGTTTCTTAATGTTGTCCAGTATTTTCCAGTTTTGGTTTTGAATGGCATTTGACTCAAGAATTGTATTACTTTTGTACAAAATATGATATCTACCTCTACCGTTTGGGAGACTTGTATTTTGCTTTTTGAAGTATAATGAGTATATTAGAAATTACAAACCAATAGTAGGTAGAACACATTAGATAATGGAGTCAATGGTATCCACTAATCTTTACAGAGTGTTCTTCCGTCCAATCCGATGAAATGATTAATCGAAAATAATGAGTGGTCATTGATATAGACACATTCGATATCCCATTATTGAATTGGAAACGGTAAATACTTCTTGCCTGGGGCAGCTTCGTTCCGATGAAATGATTAATGGAAAATAATGAGTGGTCATTGACATAGACACGTTCGAGATCCCATTATAGAAGTGGAAAAGGGAAATGTTCTTGCCTGGGACAGCTTCGTTCCTTAGCATTTAAGGAAAGTTGTCTACGGCATCTTTTGTTTTTGTGTACCGCACTAATTTTAATGTGCACAAATTCTGAAATTCATATGGTTAAGATTCGTTCCTTGTACCATTTTCATTAGGACACAGATTTGGACAATTGAACTACGTGTGTCCAACTCCTCAGTGTTGGTAACGACATGTTACCCAATAATATGTACTCACTTGCCCTACCTTCTTTTATAATATATTTTTCTTTTCACAAACCGACTAATCAACTAAATAAAATAAAATTGATAAGTTTTATAAAACGGGTCTATTTCTTAATGTAATTCATGATAAATTTTAAATTAGGGCGCTAATAGTTCATTTGTTAGGACTTCTAAAAGTTAAGGCCCCGTTTGGTATGGATTTTTTGCCCCAAAAATTGATTTTTTAAGCGTTATTTTACTATTCAAGCCGTAATTTTTGACTTCTTCTCTCACATGTGGACCCCACTTTTCTTCTAACGGTCAAAAAATCAATTCTCAAAATTCCTACCAAACGGGCCCTAAAAGTAAATTCTGAGATCGAGAATTTGATTTTGAACTTATTTCAATAATTTTTTAAAAATACTTTGTTGTCGAAAAATGTCCATTTATTAGATATAGCAAGATGTGTGATCCATTAGCCACTTTTTTCTCTAAATATAGTACCTCTCTTTTCTCTCAATCTTTCCACTTTACTTCTCGTTTTATTTTGCATACCATAAACTTCTTCTCTTATTTCTCTCCTCGCTGAACAACAAAGAAAATCCAACTTATTCTCTACCGTCGTCAACAGTAACATCGTCATCGGACTGGTCGAGACGACATGTCGACAATGGCACGTAGTCTCTTCACCTGTTTTGGTAAAGGCTCCCCGCACCAGAAGCTTGAAAATTCAAACGAAGGTGCAACCTTGGACATGGTGGTGGAGGAGCAACGGAGAGGTGGGCCGGTGGTGGTGGAGCTGTTTTCATCACAGGGATGCGCCACCTCTCCAGAGGCGGAGCTGCTGTTCTCACGGCTAGCGAGGGGTGATTTCAACCTCGAGGTGCCGTTGATATTGTTGGCCTACCATGTTGATTATTGGGATTATATGGGCTGGAAGGACCCTTTTGGGTCCAGCCAATGGACTGTGAGACAAAAGGCCTATGTTGAGGCCCTGAACCTTGATACAATGTTCACGCCCCAAATTGTGGTCCAGGGTCGGGCCCAATGTGTTGGTAACGATCAGGATGCTTTGTTATCCTGCATCACGTCTGCACCGCGAATCCCTGCTCCGTCGTTCCAGGTCAGTAAATCTAATTAGGGGCGGACGTGGGTCGGTTCGACGGGTCGGTTCGGTACTGTTCTAAAGAGAATCGAACCGAATCGAACTTTTTGGGTATTTAATAAATGGAACCTTCGGGTCCAAATATAATTATGGAATCGTTCAGGTTCGATTCCGTTCAATTCGGTTCCGTTCAATTTTGTACTATAATTAAATTTTATAACATTTATAACAACATTATATAAATACAACTAATGATATATTCAATAGTTTTGGAATGTCAGAGACTAGTAAACTAGCTTGTTCAAATGATCGTTACGATCATAGTTTTGGTTGGCGAATGTCACAGCTTCGATCTAAAGTAACAGTGTCGGTCGATGATTGTATAGGTTTTGGAATATTAGCGAGGCTACGAGAGTGAGTGCGAGAGTCGAGACAACGTTATGCACTTTATTGTTGGTGTTTAGGGTTATTTAGTGGATTTGATCTTACTTCACTAAGAAATGAAACAATAAAATGGGTAATTGGGTCAAAAATTAAAAAATTAAAAATGAAACAAATTATTGGGCCAAAAATTTGGATTTAGAAATCATTAATTTATTAATTTTTTTAGAAAAAACTAAAATTAAAATAATTTGATTTACTCAATATAAAAAAAAAATAGAAATATTCGGTTCTTATTCGATTTTTCGATTCTTGGTCTAGAATCGAGAATCGAACCGTACCTGTCGGTTCTCAATTCAGATATCCGTTTGGATATTTAATTTGACAAGAACTGTCGGATTCGGTTCGAGTTCGATTCGAAAGATTTGCCAAACTCTAAATCTAATGAATAAGACAATTTGCCCATATTTGTTTAATATATACCTGAATCGACCAAGTTTTCATCCGTGTGAAGTTTAATCAAATTCATAAATCATGTCACTTGCCAGGCGACATTCCAAAGGACAACGCCAGAGTCCTTGCAAGTGTCTCTCAAAGGAGCTTTAAGGGCTAAGGGAGATCAACAAGGTGCCAATGTCATGGTTGCTCTGTATGAAAGCGGTTTAGTGACAAATTGTCCAAAGGGAGTGAACAAAGACCGCGTCCTAGCCAATGACTTTGTTGTAAGGGGGCTTCAGAAACTCTGTTCAGTTAAAGATACCTCTACTAGAAAAATGATTGCTGTTAATTTTTCTTTGTGGCAAAGTTTCAATAGCAACAAATGTGGTGTCGCTGTCTTTGTAGAAACAAGTTCTCATCAAATTTTGGGTTCGCAGAATTTTCAGTTGCCAGATAATGTGTGAGTTCTAATTTATTAAAAGTTCGACGACTTGTGTTGAAGTTTAGATGGTGTTATTTTTCTATTTTGATTCATTTTTAGTTCTCTACTTGATTTGAAGGTTATGAGATGAGGATAGATTTGGGTAGGGATGAAATGTGATTCGAAATTTGGAACTTTCGTATGATGATGATTATTATACATACATATGTTTGTTTAATTTTTTTTCCCCTTTTCAAATGATTTAGGTTGAAGAAATAAATATAACTAATATTTTTTCTCGATTTAAAAATTAAAAATTTTAAATAAATAAACTAGAAAATTAAAAGTCAACTTCAATACTTTTAAAATATCAATCGCAATCGACAAAATAATTTCTGAACGGAGAAAATTGGGGTACTTTTGTTATATAGTTTAAAGCGAAGGCCTTCATAGGCATGGAATTAGTCAATGTGTTGATTATTGGTTTAAATGCACTTCAGGTTCCCCAACTTTGAATAGAGTTGCATCCGAGTCACTCCATATATATATATATATATTGAAAGCCGAATGACCTCATCGGCTCATTGCACCAAATTAAGGATAAGCGCTCGTATAAAACTTTGCTCTAAGTTGGATTAACTGCAATGTACTTCACCCCTTAATTGTAGCTTCAGGGGACCCATTGCAAGTCATCATTACCAAAATCTTTTAAGGTTATATGTTCAATTAAAATCACTATAGCATGGTGATAAATCAAATCTAGAACACCGGTGCAAGAGAAATGTCAACAACTTGAGGTCGTACCAACCATTCGATCAAGTAAATTTTCTTATAATACAGCTCGTAAACAAGATATAGGAAAGAGACAGTTGCCCTAACTGGATTGTGCACAGCTGTATTTGAGAAGGATTGTTAAACTACAAAAACATTAACCAATCGACACGACCAGTACTTATAATTCTAAGTGTTCCAAAATTCCAAACGGTCATGAAAAGCATGCTCATTGATGCTAGTATCCCTGTGGCATATATTCACCTCACAAACTAAGATCATTACGAATATTATTCTTTTCTACATGAAGCATTGAACCGTTATTCACCATCCCGAGAAATGAATTAAATACAGATGGGATGAGATAAGGTTAGAAAATCACCATGGAAAAACGATCACACACATAAATAAGACCGACAAGTACTTTACACTGAATCCACTGCCTCAACCTGCTGCCGTGCAAGATATTTCTCCCGTCGCTCTTTCTGAAAACAAGATATGAGTATTGAAATTGGAGAAAAATCAAAAGTATAAGGCTATCACCACATACATATTATAATCTCAAATGTACATTCGACATAAGCATCAAATACTTACCCATTCATCTATCACAAGACCTTCTCCAACGACTTGTGGACCTGCATCAACCGGAGGCTTCTTGCGTGCTTCCGTGGCAGAATCAGCTTCAGCCAATTGACGCTTCAGTTTTTCTAGTGCCTTAAATGACGAAAAACAAAGTGAGATGGTAATAACCTAAAAATCAAGGGAATAACATGTGATGATTAGATGAGAATTGATTCTTACAGGACTAGGGCGTTCTGGATCCAAAAAGACAACTCGCAATATACGCTCAACAGTTACCTGATCCCTTTGCTCATCAAACTGCATGAAATAAAAATAATGAACGAATAAAAACCAATCAAGCTCTGGATAAGCTTTCGCAATTCAGATTTATTTCCTCGAGGAAAAAAGTCAATATGCTGTAACACCTAGAGAAAATCTCACAATCTGCATCCCAAGATACTGAAGCAAAAACCACCAGTATCAGCAGTACTAGTTATATAATTAAGCTAGGACTGAAGCATTAAGAATGTTAAAAATTATTCTTCGCAGAAACATGTGTACATGAACTGCAAAAGGTCAAACATATGCACTCACTTGAGCAACACATGTAAAACAAATAATTTAACTCGTAAATGTCGGATGAAATTGAATGAAGCACATAGAAATAGTGGGACATTAATTTTTAAACATGACATATGGATACATAATCCCAGAGACCTAGCTCAGCTTAGTTCAAGTAAAAAGAATTGCAACCTTGTACATATAACATAGAATCGTAGTAGCCGCCTCTGACTACATATCTGACAAGCTTGCAGGTGCGCAAAAACATTTTTGATTTGAACAGTAATTTTACAACAGAGACAAATCAACAACATGCATCTCCTATTATTTTCTAGTTTCCATTCGATGATTGCTACTTGACTTCAACCTCCCAAATAAAACAAGAGGACAACAAATCAATCTTTGAATAGAGGAATCCAGAAAACATATAATATTGATACATCACGTTATAATAAACAAAATGAAACAAAAACAAAAAGAAGAAGAAGAAAACAAAAGTGCTTCATGTTTGCAAAAGAAAGGTAATCCATTGACAAATTTGACAAATAAATAAAAACTCAAATGTAACAATGGCAGTTTGGCATGGAATTCAAACAAAATCCTATCGTGGCATAACTACACCAAAAAATTAGCTTTATGACCACCAAAAGCATGTTCCCTGTAAATAGAATACAATGAGGGACGTGGAGAGCAGGCATGGCTTGAGACCCCTTAGTCAAGATTAGTCAATTGAGAACAGTTCGTTAGAAAAGCATAAACATAACTCAAACACAGCTATGAAATGATTAACATTTTTTGTAAAAAATAGTTTTTTTTAGAACGTTCTAAAAAATCTTTATTTTTTTATTTTTTGTCCTTTATCCAAGTTTAGCAACTAAAAAAAAAAAAAAAGATTTCAATGAAATTTCTTTTTCTTTTTTCCATTGTATTCCTTTTATCAACATTTCCTATTCCTTCTATGCCGAAGGTTTAAAACCAGTTGCTACAAAGATATGACTGATTTATCAAATCGATTATTTTTTATGTATCACAATGGTCTATTCCAACGATTAGTATCCATTTTGGGAACATCCAATGCCAAAGTCACTGAATGGGTAAGTCGCCAATTCCTGGACTATGTAATCAGTTCGATCATCTTATCTTGATTTCTCGAACCCGATCCCAAAAGAACTAAAAGAAAGTCATATATTGGTCCAAGTAAACCCATCTGATTTAAGTACCACATGGGTGGATATTTATATGAATCCATATCTCCCGAATCACGCATGAAAGCCTTTCATTTGCTTCTCTTTGATGGAAGTTTGATTTGCTTTTGGGGGCTGAGATACTATTTCACTAATCAAGTCACAGGTATTTAACATATTCATACCTAACTATTTTCCATAAAGTGGTGACGAAATAGCTGGAGACAAAAGATTCATATGAGAAAACAAAAGTAAACGGGGAGGAATATTTATTATTTGATCCATATCCCGGAAGTCCAAATTTAATAGTAGCAAATGACAATTAAGTAGAGCTCAACCATACCAATTCCTTTTCAGTATCACAAGCTCAATTGACTACGTGTGAGATAAAGTATCATGTGCCTGTCAACTAACTTAATATCTACAATGATAATAACTCTGAAACGAAACTGATTTTGTGAATTATTTGTTCTCTATCAAAGCTTCATAAGCATCCTTGTTGGCATCCAAAATTTCATTAGCCATTATGCAGAAACATAGCAGGAAAGTTTAAATCATAGAACTATAATATGGAGACATGAAATCATTAAACAAGCGTAACCATATTCTAATGTGTAACAACGTGAACAACACAAACTCACTAAGACCGAAGATCCTTGCCTTTAGAGGACGGACACCAAGTTTCTTTTGCAACATGCAACCACATTTATATACATGGACCCACAAGTGACATTATAAAGAACAGACTGTCAGCAACAACCTTTAAGATAATCGAATAATTACAGTACATATCATCCAATTTCATCATAGTTAAATTATTACCTGCCAAACGGCATATGAACAATGACATTAGAGGACAAAAACTCACCAACTCAGGTAAGTAATCCATGCCATCTTTCACCTTCAGACTCATGATCTTGAACTTGACCTTGCTCTTCTGACCTATAGGCTTTTCACTGTTCTCTGGGTGCTCCACAAACTTGAACACTGGAAAAAAGATACATGAATTTAACAAGTACATTTCTGATATTTCAACCTGAACACGAAGAAAGGTGCATTTGCAAGTTTGACTGCCCAAAAAGACTGATGAAAAAAATAATTACCAGTAGCAATGAGGCTTTCTCCAGGAGCAAGGATACCTCCAGGTGGTCGCATAAAACAACTTTTTGGTGCAGTAGTTTGAAACTAAAGACAAAATATAACAGTCAACTTTTCTCGTGCCACTTGTCTAGTTCACGGAGACTGATAACATATATTGCATTTCAAAGTAATAAATCAGCAGCATTCTTTGTTGTATGAATGTTCATAGGATCTTATCTTACATAAACATTAGACAATAATTTAAAAACAAGTTAATATAGTTGTAACATTCTACACGGACGAAGAAACCTTTCTGCCATTGCATTAAAATAAGTTTTCTCTCCTTATTTGTAGACAATTCACAGAAAATAATAATAAAAGGAAAATAGACTAATTAGAAATGAAGACTCCGGATAAAAAGACTCAAAATATTAATAATTACTAAATAATAAATTAGTAAAGCGGAAACAATACCTTGAAAGCAACGAAAGACTTGCTGGAATTCTTAATCCTAACGGCGCTTCTAGCCTGCTTTCCTGGCTCATCTTCAATATGTACATACAGAGAAAGTATATTTAAACAACTAATTAAGTACATTATAAACGAGCTTAAACAAGGACAGATTATTTTCAACCATATCAATACATAAGTAGTAAAATTAGAAAAGTGATTGTCTAGGTACAGGAGATGATAGTGAAGACAACGCACAAGGAAAGTAGAGATTATTAGAAGGATCGAAACGTAGTCGACGTCGAGCGGGGAGAATCGATCTGGCGACTGAGGATACGGTGGAGGCAGAGCGGGCATCAGAAGAGACGCCGTTGTGGTGGTAGTTATTCTGCGAATTGTTGTGAAGATTCTGAGTAGAAGAGGCGGTCGCTGATTGCCAAATCGGGCAGAGCCTCCACTTGTTCTGTTGATGTTGACCTTCGGTAATCGCCATAGCCAGGTGGTTGTCCGCCTTTCGCCGTCGCCGGAATCTGTCGCAATTCCTCAGCTGTATTTTATTTCACGAAATTGCGTTGACTAAAATGTTTTGAGATGTCAAAAGTCAGAGAGCAGGATTTTAGCATCCGAGTTGTTATCTTTTTATCTTAATCGTACGCGGGAATAGGAAGTGCGTTAATCGGACTTCTAATAATGGTATTAAAACGGATTGACTTAGAGATTTGACGTCCGTTCACACGCCTACTTGTTTTACTCGTGGAGTAGTTCAGGTGGACATCACACCTCCTAATTTTTTTTTTTTATCTATCCCGTTTGATTCTCATGTTTGTCGAAATACATTTTTCGGTCCCTTCTTCTTAATCACAAGTTTTTCATTAAAATAATATTATATATAAATAAATAAATAATTCTTATTTTTCATCCATATATTTTCGATCAATCTACTATTTTAAAATTATTTTTCCATAAAAATAGGTGTCAAACACCCTTCTAATGCATTACAAGTGATTGTTTGAAAAGAATTTATAAATAGATAAAAGTAAATGGCGAATGTTAAAAATATTACATGTGAATCCATTGAAATAAATGATAAAAGAATGAAGTTTGATCGTAAATAAATAAATTAAGTTGGAGAATTCGAGAAGAGCTGTTATAGTCTAGATAACATTGGACTCAAGTGATTTATTGTTCAATAAAATAAAAATATATACCAATTTCAAACGCTATGTAGATTAATTGAATTGAATTGTGCATATGCTGCAATCAATTTAAGTAGCAGTGACGTGATGTTAAATGATAGGTTCAATAAAATTTAAGGCTATGAAATTTACGAGTATTGTGTTGTTGAGATACACGATGATAAATAATATTGTTCTAAATGGAATTATTCGAGAAATAATATTGACATGTGTGGCATAGTATTCAATTAAAGAAAAAGAGTCAAAAATTGTTTATTGCACTATTTTATTATGTTCATACACGTCCATGTATTTATTTGAATGTGTGGCCGTGTGGGGTTGGTAAGTTTGTGGTGTAGGTTAGGTGGAAGGTAGTTAATTACTTAGGTAACTAATGACAATTCCGAGGTAAATTTGACCGTGCGAATAGTAATTTTTGAGAAATGTGTGATTAAAAAATAAGAAATTTTTTTAATTTACGTTTAATATTTTTTTATTAAATAATGTATAGTTGGAAAGAAGAGAGAGAAAATTATATTAAAATTTTAGAGAGAATCAAACAAGGGCTTAACAATACTTGACCGCTGGTCAAATCCATAACTTCGTTAATATAATCTTGTGTATTTGTAATTTTTACCTCTCTCCACCGTGTTCTTACTTGAAATCTTTCAGTTCATCCATGACCCAATGCATGCTGCTTGCTTCTTCCCAATAACCTCCTCTTGTTCCACTCATATTCTTCAGTACTTCTTCCTTTGTATTTATGTAATCAAGAATTTTGAATGGATTCAGTATGTGATTGTGCTCTGGATATAAAGGACTAAGAACCACATTTCGGAGTCTTGCAATTACTCTCTTTACAGAATGCCATTTGAGAGTTTCAAAATAAAGATGTCTTTTTATTCAATAAATACATTTTTGCTAACACACCTTCCTATAAATAATGTACAAGTGTCAAATTTCTATCCAAAAAGAGTACAGCCAACATATATATATATATATATATATATATATATATATACAAATGGGTTAAACCAAACGGACAGGGCCGTGGATGTCTAGGGCCCTATGTGGTGCGTCCACGGTCCTATGTGGCGCCCCCTATTGGGCGCGCCTATCCCCCCAAGAATCTTCCTATACAGATTGGGAAAGGTTAAGCGGTTTTAGTTAAAATCAGCTGCTTCAGTGTATAGTTTTTGGATGTGATTACCAAGACTCCAAACTATCCGGACAAATGGGGGAAACCGCGTGGAAAGGTTGATTAGATAATAATCAAGGGGCTCCACTTGGCTTTTAATTTTAATAGTTAAAGCCTGTTTGGGAGTGATTTTGAAAATTAATTTTTTGACCGTTAGGAGAAAAGTGGAGTCCACTTGTGAGAGAATAAGTCAAATATGACAGCTGAAATAGTGAAATAATGGTCAAAAAATCAATTTTTTTGGTGAAAAAATTGGACCCAAACAGGCTATTAATTAAAATGCACAAAAATAATTAAGTAGACATAGCAGAAATGCTTTGATAACATGAATTTCTATTCCTCAACGATATTCCACAATCAAGACAATTGGCTAAATTCCGTGAAAAAGCTTTAGGAGTCACTGAAACAACTGCGGGATCATATTGGAGTTGGGACCTAAATGAAACTTAGGCATTTATTATTTCAATTTCTTTGATTAATTTGATGGTTACCAGAAATTTCAACTGCGCTCATATTCGTCACTAGGAATTGGACAAGTTTTGAAATATTCATATTACACAAAAGATTATTCATATATTTTTGCGTACGGAACATGGCCTTTACATTTATGTTCTTTCACTTTGTCAATGTTAAGTAGTAATTTCGATCCAACCCTATTAACATATTAGGTCAAAATTGAGAAAGATGCAGTTCCCAGAAGCACAATGAACAAAAAAGGTGTATTAGCTAAGAACAAAACTCTGACGGATGCCATGGAAACATAATGTTTAACCTTGTTTAAAACTTTGGAAACTAGTACAAAACATCATTAAGCTTGAGCAAATATTTAGCTCTCTACATAATATATACACAAAGAAATAGGGGTTTGGAGATTCTATTCAATTAGGTCCCCAACAGCTCAAATACATAACTGTTCTCAGTGATTCCTCAGATTTCTTCAACTTCTGATCTTCCTTCATCTTTTTACATATAATTGTTGAAGAGGGTACTCCAGAGAGTCTCTTGGTCTCAGTGTATGATCTGAGGTTGTTCTTGGCATGTTGTTGCAGTAGCCTCATGGCATAATTCCATCTACAGAATCCCTGATCTTTCAGTGCCTCAACAGCCCCAATGCTTGCTCCCACTAACCAAGCCCTGCTCGTGGAACTCATTTCAGCTTCTTCTTTCGTACAGATTCAGTGTTTATTGCCAATGGATATGAATGGTGATGAAGAATGATGAGGAGAATGTGTGTTTATATAAGAAACTGGTGCAGGTTTCGCCAGCAGAAAAGGAAAGCCCCCAGTTTTAGGTGGTTGTATTATAGCCATATGCATCAAGGATTGTGCCAATGAATTTAGACCAATTCGGGGAGAAAGCAGATATGCACGAACTCACATCATGTCCCACTTGCATATTTTATAAGTGAAAATTTTTTTGGCCAGAATATAAAAGCAATAGAGTAGAGTACAGGAAAAATTGCAGTAGAGGTTCCAAATCTTTCAATTTACTGCAGATGGCTCCTATACCTTTTATTTTAACGTCGCAATCTCAAACGTTTCACTTAGAGTCCAGACTGCAGCCAAAGTCCATTGGACAGATCTCTTTCATTAATTTATTAGTCAACATTGACAAAATAAGTGAGGGAAAAATAGTAAATTTATATTTTTTTATAATATGAAATTTAAATAAATCAATCAATCAATCAACTTCATCTTTTCCATACCCCACGCCCATCGAGGAAATACCTATAGATAGCCTAAATACAAGAGCAATTTATAAGATTAGACATAAAAAAATAATTATTTGAAAAATAGCCTTTGAACAATATTTTTTCCAAAAATACCCCTTACAGAGAATTTGCAACCAAAGCTACTACAATGTATAAAAACTTTCAATTAGGTTCTCAGAGAAATATAGATCATAAATCTTTAATAAATTTAAACTCAAATATTATACAAAATTTTATTGATCTAAGAAATGCAACAAATAATGAATTAAATTATTCAAAAGAAAATCTAAAAAGTTTCTTTACCGAATATTTAGATCCAAAATTAAAACATAAAAATGTTTATATAGATAAAGGAGCAATCAAAACCAAAAATGCTATACATGAAATAATTCTTAACCTGGAAAGAAGAATTAAAAAATTAAATATAATTATTAAAAAAAAGTCTTAACAAAAGATAGTGAATTTTATAAATTTTATTGTGATATTCTAAAAACTTATGAAGATTTTAATTGGCTCGAAAATCTTAACCCCTCTGCTGCACACTCCGAAGAAATGGTATTAGAGTCATGTTACAAACCTAAAATTATGATAAACATAGTAGATGAAAAAAATATAATTGAAAATTTTTTGAAAAAAAGCAGAAAAACATAAAAAACCTAGTTATCCATATTTACCTAAAAACACTACAAATGAAAGTTTTGAGGATATACATAAGAGATTAGAAAATTTAGAACATAATCTACAAGTAGGAAATGCTCTATTAGATAAAAATCTTAAAGGAAATGATGGGATTATAATTAATCCACCTCAAGATTTTAGAATAACTCAAAAAGAAAATAATAAAAGGAAAAGACATGAAGAAAAACAATATATGATTACAAATGTAGAAGAAATAGAACAAAAATTCTTAGAATCTACTGGTGAAGAATATAAAAAATAGTTAGAAGAATTAACTGAAAATATGAAAAATACAAAGATGAATACTAATCCATCATTAAGTCGAAATATAAAAATAGAATTCAGTAGTGATTAAAAATATGATTATCCTTATGGTACTACAATACCACTTAAGGATGGTATTAATCAATATAGGAAAATACAGAAAAGATACACTAGAAATATAAGAAAACAATCCATAAAAGAAATAAATCCAATGAAATCTTATAATGAACCAAACCACACAACAGGAGTATGGTTAGACCTAGATTGTGTAGATAAAAATAAAGCTATTGAAACATGGATAAAAAATATAGACTTAACAATACAATTTAATAAATGGGAAACATATACAGCTTTTGGATTTCTAGAACATACATTCAGAGGAATTGTTTTTGAATAGTGGAGAAAGTTATCAGAATCTATAAAAGGAAGAATAAAGCATGGAGATAATAGAACTAAAGTATTAGATAATAGGAATACTTTAAATAATCAAAATATACAGGAGATATTAAAAAGGTTTGAAAAAATCTTAAGAATAGAATTCTTAGGAGATAGATATGCTTCTAATGAAAAAGAAAGAAAACAAGATGAATATAATGAAAGAATGATAGCAATGGAAAATTTAAAGATATATGATATGTGTGAATTAGAAAGATACACATGTAAATTTGAAGAATTATACTATATATTAAATCAATGAGATTACCAAGAAAATAAACATATACTAAGATCTTATTTTACTAAGTTACCATTCCCATGAGAAATTAAGTTATTAAAAGAATATGAAAAATTATTATCTCTAGGAGAAGAGGAAGGAGTAAAAATAGATAATCTTGGAAGTGGAATTGAATTTACAAAAAGAATGATAGGCATGTAGTGTAGAGAAGCTCTTGAAAGTAAGAGAGTATATAAAATAAGAAAGAATTCCCTATGCTGTTACAAAGATATAGGTCAAGTTGAACAATTTGGATGCCATAAGAAAAAATACAAACCATATAAGACATATAAAAGAAAATTCAAAAACTACAAAAAATTTAAGAAAATGAATTTTAAACCACACAAAAAATATTTCAAGAAAAGAAATTGGAATAAAAAGCCTAAATCAAAAAATATTAAAAAATGTAGATATTTTATTTGTAATGAAGAAGGACACGTTGCTTCTCAATATCCTAAAAAGAAAAATAGACAGAATATAAAAACTCTTAGAATTTATGAAAAATTCCAAGATGATGGTGATATAGAACCAATTGAATATTTTGAAGATCTAAGTAGTGAATACAGTAGCATTTATAAATTAAATACATCCTCGTCAGAGGAAGATTATGAGGAGATAGTATATATAAATCAAGAGATACAACAATCAGAAATAGAAATAGAAACAACTGAAAAAGTTGAAAACTCTATAGAGGTATAGATCAAAAAATTACCTTTGATATTAAAAAATATACAGGAATCACTAAAAAAATATTAGATTTACAAGAAAAAGATGTATTCCATCAAGAATTCTTAGGAATATTACCAATAGTAAATAAAACAATTGTAAGTATGAATTATAAAGAAATGTTTATAAATATAGAAGATACTATAGGAAAAGTAAGGATTCCTATAATTACAAAAGAATGGGTAAAACAAAAATTATCCAAAATTTCAGAGAACGTAAGAAACAAATTGAAATGTATTGAAATAGGAGGAGTCCAGATAATAGTAAAAAGATTCTTTAGAGAAGGCATGAACATACCAATTGAAATCTATTGCATGGACAACAGAATCTTACCAGATCCTATAGATGCTCTATTAGGAATAGTCGTAGGAAACTTAGTCCATCAGAAGATAATATTTACAGTAAAATCAAATTATGCAATATTATTAAATGACGAAAATATTGACCAAAGTTTCAATCTATATTATAGATTTGGAAACTTGAAAATATTACGAAGAAGTAAGGCTATTAGTATAAGCATAAAATCAATTTTTGCTTTTAATACTAGCCATCATAACAATTTAAAGAAAATAACTGATAACATTATCATACATAAATATTTTGAGGAATTAGCACAATATATACCTCCTAGGAAATATCAAGAACATGAAATCACTATACCAGAATAGATAATGCTTGATTTCCACAAACAAGCTAGATAAATTAATTCTGAAGGAAAACTAATAAGAAGAAAAAGTATCAGCCTAAAAGGAGATAATCTTATTGCAAGATTCCCCTCCAGACAAGACTCTAAGATAAGCAAACTTAAGAAATTAAGTATTGCTAAACCATCAAATTCGCAATACTATATCAAAATAAGATATGTAAATCAAGAAGGATATAAGAAGAATCTTCTTGTCCTCATTGACACTGGAGCAGATAAAAGTCATGTGAATGCTAAATTTGTTAGCCATTTTATAGACTTTGAAATATCAGAACCATATATATTTAAGGATTATTTAGGAAATAATCTTGAAATAAGAAAATATGTAAAGTTCCCTCTTATACTTATAGGAGAGGATCAGAAAGAATATACTAAATAAATAATTCTATATAAGGATGAATTATATGGAGTTGATCGTTCACCTATTCTACTAGGAATGAATTTTCTTAAAAAATATAGTTCTTATAAAATCTGTCAAGGATATTTAAAAATAACAGTTGATGATAACTCAATCATCATATCAAGAATAGATGAAAATATGAAATCATTGTTATCATGGAAAGAGTAATAAGTACTAATCCCATGAGTCCATATATTGAAATTACACTCAATATAAAAAGTTATTGTAAAATTAAGTTTCATGCTTATTTAGATACAGGAAGTACAATAAGCTTATGCTTACCAAATGTACTACCATCTGAATATTGAAAATATAATACAAAGAAAATAGTCACCGCTACAACAGCAGGTGGAAATAAGGTAGTATACAGCAAATATGCTACGCAAGTACATTTTCTAATTTCCTTTAGAGAAGTATTTGTTGATACTATATATATGTCAACCACAATTGGATGTGATATTTTATTAGGACAAAATTTCCTATTAAAATATGCACCATTTACACAAATATATTGATAAGTATATGTTCACAACACCCTGTGCACACAAAATATTTACACCAAAAATAAATAAGGCTGTTACAATAGTATATAGAAACATAAACTATCAGAGTTCCTCAACCCAGCGTAGTGGATGTTGGAGTACAGAAAAATTTAAACCAGTTACAGGCTTAAAAATGACAACAGAAAATAGGTTAGAACAATTGAAAAAAAAAAATTTCTAAAACATATTCTGAAAATCCATTAGAAAAATAGAATACAGACAAAGTAAAAACAAAAATAGAATTAACCAATCCAGACACTATTGTTAGAGTCAAACCTATGAAATATAGTGTTGATGATCAAAAAGAATTTAAAAACCAGATAAAAGAACTGCTAGAAGCAAAATTGATTAGGCCCAGTAAAAGCCCACATAGCAGCCCAACCTTTATGGTTAGAAAACATAGTGAGATAAAAAGAGAAAAAGCTAGAATAGTAATAAATTACAAAAAATTAAATGAAGTTACCAAATTTGATGGATACTACTTGTCAAATAAGGATACCCTTACTAAACAAGTACAGAACAAAAAGATATTTTCAAAATTTGATTGTAAGTCAGGATTTTGGCAAATC